CAGGAAGCCAAGCGAAGCGTGTGTTTGCAAGTGGTTTGTCTGAAGCTTTCCTCAGGCACTGGAAGTTGTTAAACTTTTCACTCAGGCAGGATGTGGGGGTGAGCTCCGGTACTGTGCCCGCCGTACCCCACGTTCCTGAGTGTGGGGCTGGCTGGGCGGCTGAGGCGAGCCTGTGGCCCTCCGTAGCTTTCCGGGAGCTGCCATTTCCGACAGAGGCCGAGTCCTCTTCCCCCGGCACGGACTGGAAACGCCGAGAGCAGTAGAGATGAGCAGCACTGGAGCCAGGCTGGCCCTTTCATTTGCAGGCCTTTGGGAGCGTGTGCTGCTTCATAACGGGTTCCGGCAGCACCTTGTGTGGTCCAGGGCAGGGTATTTCGGTAATTCAGATACTAGCTGTTGGACTGGAAACTCCAGGAAGGAGGTTAGGTGAAGAAAGCAGTGCTAGCAAGCAGGAACTTCAGGGGGAGAAACTTCTTTTCTAGGCGCTAAGAGAGAGAGCGTACAGGAAAATATAAAACCTTCGTGTTTACCAGACTCTATCATGCTAATGTCACATTTACTCGGGACCTCAGCACCATTGCCTGTCGACTTTGGTGGCATATAGGATCTTGCCTGTAGACAGAACCTTCCTTCACTTTAACTTCATCATCTGTCCCTACTTGCCTGGTGAATTTGTACCTTGCAGCTGTTAACAGGGGAAGTACCCGCTTTGTGTGCTTCTCCCACGTGCCTGAGGTAACAGCAAACTACTTTGTATAAATTAGAAGCTACTCCTACTTCAGTACTCCTACTTCAAAGCATTGGGAGTTTAACAAGAAAAATCACATTAGCAGCGCAGTCGTCTTTTATTACAGTCCCCCCTGCTGACGAATAAAGAAGCAGAAAAATATTCAAAGTATTACAAAAAACCTCAAAAAGCAGCCCCCAAACCCTTGAAATGCTAATGAGAGGACAATAAACTGCTGGTAGGAGACATGTATATGTGAGGAACTTCTGACTCATCTAGTGTCGGACTTAATGACCGTAAGTGAGATGTGAAGAAATAGAAAGTTCAGCATTAAATCTAGTGACAGGACCAATTGTACAGTTAGAGATTATTTTTTTTTTTTAATATGAAACTCGGTGAATGATTTAGGAGGATAATGGAAGATAGGAAAAGAAAACTTGACATGCTGAGTGTTCAGCAAAGATCAGTTCTGAATCAGTCTAAGAAAGGTATTAAATCAGAGGAGGTCTAACATGTTATATAAGCTACTGAACCAGATTATTACAATTTGAAGATTAAAATTAAAGCTGAATGAGACTTTATGCCTTAAAAGTGAAGACTCTGTCAAAAGACTGTAGACTTTGTTTTTATTATAAAAATACTATTTTCACCAAAAAAGTGGTGTAGTGCAAGACTGACTTTGGTTTGGCGCTGGATATGTATGTACCCTGGGATTAATACTGGCATAATTATATCTGTAGTTTTATGAGTGGGGAAAAAAAAAAAAAAAAACAACAGACCTTGAGAACTGATTAGTGACTTGCTGTAAAATCCATTGAACGATATTCAACCTCATCTGTCTCAGACTTGTCCTTTTTTGTTTTCACCCATTGACCTTCATGCAATTTTAATTAGAAAGTAAGAAGGTAATGGAAGAGAGCTCATTTCATGCATATGCTATCTCATCTTTATTACTTTGGGCAACGTAATAATTCAATCTCTAATAGGCTGCTAAAATTTTTAGTATTTGAGCAGACTTCACTTTGTTCACTTGATCCTTCTGCGCACTTTCTGTCTGCTTAGAAAGGATTCATTATGTTTTTGTGTCTTGGTATGAGTCTAATGAATGTTGCTTTGACATAAATGATAAAATACACGTTTACTGGTCATGTGCCAGCTGGCTTGTTACAAGCAGGGTTTTAATGATGAGGAATGTTTTAATTCAGAGATTTTACAAGTGGTTTATAGAGTGGGCTGTGCTTAATTTCCTTGCAGACCTCTTCCTTACCTTCTGTGTCTGCATCGTAGATAGCTCTTTGGCATCTACAGTAATTGCCAGCTGGGAGAAGTTATCTTATTCTACTGTTGCAAATAGTCTTGTCAGAGTTGACTGAGAACTGCAGGGAATGGGGTGTTGGGGTTTTTGGTTCAAATTTGAGGTAAAACCTTTCTTCCCTTCTCTAGGCATGAGGAACTTTATCTAGATTGTTAAAATGGTGTTGCTGCTTGACTATGAATTTAGTATAGAGCAATGTCAGCTCTTTGCATTGCGTCATTGTGTTCTGTATGTCACATGTCATTGCCTGGATATTTTGGGACAGCTTTGCAAGAAACTCTGCATCTTACATGGGCAAATATCTAAATGCAAGTATGAAATCTGCAGTCACTACGCGTAGTGTTCAAAGTCACGAGAAAATTTCTGTCTCTCTGCAGTGTGGCACGGGTACGATCAGGAACGGTGCAAAGGCAGGTGCTTCAGCAGGCGGCTGGAGCGGGACAGGCGAGAGCGGTGCTGCGGTGGCTGGCCTGCGGCTTTCTCCGCTCTCCTGCTGCTGTGACGCTTCTGGTGGTGTCATCTTGTGCACCAGCAAGCTCTCAGAAAAGGCCAACTACCTTCTCGTCATAAATACGCACAGGAAATTCTGTCATACCTCTTCTTCCAGTAGTTACAGGAAAGGCTTCTTTGAGTATCAGCTAGCTGGTTTTGTTGATTAACACAGGCAGATGCATGGTCCCCTGCCAGGCTGTGAGGGAAGGCTGCTGCTGTAGGACCTTCCCCTGGTCCAGCTGCCATTTTGCTCTTAAAATTCTTTAGATTCATGAAGATCTTTGATCTTAGAGCCTTTTGCTAGATTTAATGGCAAAATCAGTGCTTTAATTCAATGAAGAAGGTAAGGATATTCACCTGCAGCTCCTGCTGTTTTGGCAGCGGGTGTGCGTGTGTCATCTGGCAGTTCTAATGTTTTTTTT